TCATAATCTTCGTCGCTTATTGCGAAAATTTTTCAAACATTTTAAAGTAAAAATTGCAACAGGTACATCCACACACACACATTCACACGTACAACCACACACACATCCACACATACAACCACACAAACACATTCACACATACAACCACACACACATCCACACATACAACCACACAAACACACAGACACATACACACACACACACACATACATGCAAGATGTTATACACGTTTGGCTGTCAATATCTCCAGACAATGAAAATGTCCTGTAGTCATTGACAACATTAGCAAACATAAAAAAAAATTATAAACATAACATTGAATCTATTTGTTTGTTTGTCTGTATGTTTGTTTTTTATGTATGTTTGTGAGTTTGTGAGCTTGTATATTGCTTTTTGTATTGTTTTGCAGTTTTTTGTGTTTTTGTATATTGTTTTTTGTGTTTTGTATATCATTTTGTATGTTTTGTAAAATGTTTCTTCTTTGTTCTTTTGTTTGTCATGAGAGCAAACAAATATAGATTCGCCTTGTCGGTTTTCATTGTGCTGGTTTTTTTCATCGATGTTTAACGGTAAAAAAATAATCATCTAGAACTTTTCGTAACGATTGTAAATGTTGCTGTTGTTTTTGTTGACGATGTTAATGTTGTTGTTGATGATGTGGATGATGTTGTGGTTGATGTTGTGGTTGATGTTGTTGTTGTTGTTGATGCTGATGTTCTTGTTGTTGAAGTTGCTGACGATGTTGTTGTTGTTGTTTAGCTACAGTTTAAAAATTAAATATTAGTATTACAACAATGTTATCATGTGTTGTCGTGATAGTATGACATCACCATGACGTCATAACACAGTCATAATATTATTATATCTCACTATTACAATTATATTATATCACTTTAAGTACATATGAACTTATATCATCCCAAGTACACGCGCACTAAAATCATCACCATTTACAATTACTCTCACCTTTTTCTCTTTTTCTCCTCTTCCTCTCTCCTCACCCTCACCAATTCATCATCATCTCCCATCATGTGAACTGGTGTAGCGCTTAATGGCGGCGAATATTTCCCGCCATCTCGTTCCGCGCCATTGGACTGTTTTTTTTTCCAATTTTTGTTATTGTTGCTTATTTTATTTATTGTTGTTATTATTATTGTTGTTGTTTTTATTTTATTATTTTATTATTATTTTTTTATAAAAAATATTATTTCTACCTTTGGCTGGTTGGTTTTAGCGAAGTTCTTCTTCGACGTCAACTGTTGTTGGTGTTGTTTATTATTATTATTATTATTATTATTATTATTATTATTATCCAAAATGTTCTTCTTTTTCTTATTATTATTTTTATTATTCTTTGGGTCGTTTTGACAAACTTTGTTTTTATTTTTATTGCTTATATCGTTCAAATAGTTGTCAGAGCGTGAAAAAACCGTTCCCCCGATGACAGGCCCATCATCCTCATCACCACCATCATCATCATCATCCTCGCCACTCTCATTTTTACCATCATTACCATAGCCACCCTTATTTTTGCCATCATTACCATCACCATTCTTGTCATCGTCGTCGTCGTGTTTATATTTCAATTCTTCTTCTTCGTCATCAGCATGCTCATCGACGCCATTCATTTTATTTTTATTCCTCTTATTATTATTTTTGTTGTTATTATTATTGTTTTTGTTGTTGTTGTGGTTCACTGGAGCGCGTAAATCGCTTGCGTGAATCTTGCTCTCTTCCGCAAACTTTTTTAAAAACGCACGGACCACGGTCGAACTGCCACCGCCAGTATCGTTATCATCATCGCCAGCTGTTTTGTCACCATCATCATCATCAACATCATGGTTATTATTATTATTGTTGTTATTCTTATTATTATTATGTTCATTATTATTATTTTTCTTCCTGTACTGAGGTTTAACGTTGTATTGTTGATGTCTGCTGTATGCCACGCTGCTATCGTCAAAACTATCCAGTTTGTATCTATTTCCGGTCTTATTATTATTATTATTGAGTTTATTATTAATGTTATTTTCATAATTTTTGTTGTAAAATTTATTTTCGTTGTTATTGTATCTATTGTTGTTGGCGTTGTGATTATGTTTATTTCCGCCATAGATGGTTGGTAGCTTGGGAGATTTAGAGCTGCCTGATAATTCAGAAATGCGGGACGTGTGGTAGCCATGGATCACGTGTTTGGGGGACGGGGAGGAACAACTGGATGATCGGGTGGTGGTGCCGATCGATGGAGTGAATGGGGAAGTGTCCGGATTAATCTCTAATATGAAAATCTCCGGAACGTTTGCCTGTTTGAAAAGTTGTTGGATGGGCGTGTGAGAGCGAAAGAATGAAAGAGAGAGGTTGGATGGGCGTGTGAGAGCGAAAGAATGAAAGAGAAAGAGAGAGAGAGAGAGAGAGAGTATGTGTTTTTGTGTGTCTGTGCATGTGGGAATGAGTGAGTTTGTGTGTGTTCGTACTTGAGGCGGCAAGAAGTTTTTAACTTTCATAACTTTTTCCTGTTTTGGCCTTATCTAAAAAAATAAAAATTGACGTGAAAATTTTTATAACGCATAAAAAAACTAAAAAATAGAAAAAAATAAAATAAACTGAATCACCTTCGTGAAGCACCTTCCCACGCAGTTCAGATACACAAATGTCTTTGGCATGGACTCTGAACCAAGCTGGCTGCCAAGTTCAGCCCGCAAGTCGAGTAGTGTCATTTGGGGCAGTACCCTAAAGATATACACACGCCAATACACACACAAACAAACATACATATATACACACAGACATACAAACATACATACAACGTGGGTTAAGGTGTTCGTTGTACGCAGTTGAGGTCGGTGCAAGAGATGTTGTTGGTTGTTCGGTGTACAACTTTTTGAAGGATTTGGGTTTGGCAGGTAAAAGACAATCGAGTTGTTCCGACTACTCAACACTCCCAGATTCGGCTTAGCGTGTTACTTGGCTCATCGATATGTGAACAGTCTGGCACATAAAATGTAAAATGACTGGTTTCAAAGCGAGGCAAATTGTTTGTTCAGCGAGAGACATCCAACTGATCTCTGGATGTGCCCGGTTTCTCGAGAATATCAGGAAGTTAAAGGGCCGAAACACTCGTTGACGGAAACTCTTCCTTTGAAGACTTTTGCTGAACGCTCGTTATGTTCGAGTTTCTACATACACACAGACATACAAACATACACACAGACATGCACAATAAAAAATTTTGAAACTTGAGCCAATAATCTCGTAAATATCTGTTAAGAGTGTTTTAATAAAGAGTTATTGTAGATCGTAAAAATTAGTTATCTAAAAGAGTTTAAATTTGGGTACATGGTCGTATAAAGTTGTCGCGTCAATCGAATGAATGAATTAATTAATGAATGAATAATTATCATCACGCGCAATAGTTATCAATCCGTCTATTCTTTCATCAACTCATTCTATCATTAATTAATTCATACGTCTATTATCTTCATTTGGTCACTTATATATCAATCTATCTATCTAACCATTCATTCATCTATTCATTCAGTCATTCATTCATCCATTCATTCATGCACCTAACGAATCCCACTGATACAGTATCGTTGATTGACTGATTGAGGGCGCTCTGCAAGTGCTCTCTCCACAGGTCATTCGGTACTATGTAAACGTGCAAGTTGACCAACTGAATAATAATAATAATAATTATTATTATTATAAAACAATTTTAATTAATTATAATAAATTATAACTAATTATAGTAAGGGTTAATTTACGTGAGCAGATACAACGCGTTCATCTTTTTGATCGAGATATTCCTTTTGCAATTCATCAAAAGAATCGACCGACTCCATTGGATGGATGAATGAATGGATGAATGAATGGATGAATGAATGGATGGATGAGTGATTAGATAGATAGTTGGATGAATGAGCGAACGAATAGATGATTGAGACTTGAAAAAATTAACGTATGTCGTTTAATCAGTTTTTCTGAAAGAAAATTAAACAAATATATAGGTTAATAAATAAATATAAATAAATAAATTTAAAGATAAATAAATAAATACATATGAATACAAGCTATGACGAAGAAGCATTTTTGACTTTAATGATTGTTGGCAGTTGCTATCATGTGCTCTGGCTCTTTCTACATATGTAAGAAATCCAACAATTCATAATAATAATATTAATTATTATCATAATAACATAATTATTCTCATTATTGAATAAAATAATAAAATTAATAACAAATTTAATGACCACATTAGCGATTTATGTTGAAAACGAACCGTTTCTTCTTGCTGGCGTGTATAGCAATGCTAAGTAATGTTGCTTAACCTTATATACAAATTAACATAAGATTTTTTTTACTATTCTTATAATTCTTCTTATTATTATTACTATTATTAACTAACACACATACAACATATACAACATATTCTATATATATTTGGCTATATAGATTTATTTAATTATATATATATATATATATATATATATATATATATATATATATATATATATATATATATATATATATATATACATATATTTTCACATATCTATATATATG